AAAACCAATAAATATCTGTTGATTTTCTCAGTAAACGATCTGTTGCCTGGTCCCTGTCTTCTGTCGTTACACAGGGATGGATGCATAACAAAGGTAACTGCCATAGTGGTTAATCAGTTTATAAGTGTGACCTATTGGTATGTGTATGTGTGTGTCAACAGTCAGTTTAGTCAGTTAGCTAGAATTCTGCTTATTTAAGCGATTTCGCCTTCTGAGCTGAGGTTTTTCGATACATCTTTAATTTGATTGGCTGCACATGCGTGAAACGGTAGTCTGGTATTCACATTTTTATTGCCTGTCCTTCAAGTAATCCTAGTTGATTTGTGTAGTTTGCAGTTAGTTGGAGACGAAAACTTCAAAACCTATCAAATGCCTACATACTAACAAATCAATCAGTAGTGTTCTCTGAGCTGGTTGGTTTAGTTGTGGAGCTTTCGTCGTCCCCCTGCTGGACAACATCCCCTTTCAGCGCAATATTTAGCATAAAGTGAAATGATTTAAATTTCTTCATGAGTGATATAATTGCGTCTCCTGGTAACCATCTTTACATATATATTGACCATTTTCTATTGACTTGGATTTTAAACTTTCTGGTCACCTGATTTACTTTTTATTAGTTGGTACATTTGTTCTATATGTTAACGTGTTTGTTAATTGTATTTTCGTTTGAGTACCAGGCTCCTAGGAATTCCCTGGCACTTTTGATGTTTCCTCTGTCTAAGATCTCGACATTATCCCAATCAAACTGACGTCCATAATTGTCTATATGCATTGATATTAAAGAATACATATCGTGTCTTTTCACGGTTGATTTGTGTTTTTGGATTCTAATTCGAAGGGGACGCCCACTTTGGCCGATGTAATGCTTGTTGCAGTTCATACAATTTATTCTGTAAATGGTAATAATTTTATCTCCTTTTTCTATTGAATCTTTTGGTTTGCATAATATCGAATTAAGCGACTTGACTGGGTTGTGCGCTATACCTATATCAAACGGTTTCAGTATTCTAGCTATTATTTCAGAGATATTTTTCATGTATGCTAGGATGAATTTTCTTGTGGTCTTGGATGGCGGTTTCTTGTTGGTGTTTTAATTCGATTTTAAACACTTTCTGATGAAATTGTGAGGGGGATATCCATTCTTTTTGAAGACCGTTTGTAGGTACTTTTCTTCCATTCTTTTCAACTCTGGAGTACTACAGTGTGTTTGAATTCTTTTAAACAATGTCTACAAACAAATCACAAAGTTATTCCATCCAAAGCACATTTTAATATCGCACAGTATTCTTCTTCCATTTCCTGAACTCTTGACATTAGTTGCTACCTAGTGTCCAATTAAATTATCCCTTACAGTCCTACAGAAGTTCAATAGCAAGCCCAAATAGCTACTCAGTGGTGACATTTCTGACTGCATCACTCACTGGGTGACTCGAGTTCAAATCTTAGAAAGGATATGAATTCCTTCAAGGTTGCAGATTCACATCCCCTTGACGACTACCAATAAAACGTAAGTTCTAGGTCCAAGGCTTCCTGCCAGTTGCCCCCAACCATTTAAATTTCAACAATGGCTTTAAACTTATTGCTTAGAACTCTTGTGGACAGACACTTGAACTCATACACAAGAAATAGCTGATGAATACCATTTTGCTGGACTCTAAGAATCCTCTCTGTGCACAACTCTCCTTTTGTATCTCATCAGGTAGGACTAGAAGCAGTCATATAAGACTTTATTCTCTCTCCATACTGAAGATCAAATGGCGAGACAACCATCCAGAAAGAATCAGTAACAAGAAACTCTGGCTGGAAACAAACAAACAGGCGAGAGCTGATTGCTCAACAAATATGTAGGAGAAAGTGGAGATCGATCGATCGAGCATACGTTGAGAAGGTTATCGAATGACATTGCGCGTAATGCAGGCCATAGCTAAAGTAAAATCCAGATGGGAATCAATGACTGGGTCATCGGTGTGATGGTGACATGGAGGACGTCGTTTGGGGAGGAGGAGGAGGAGATGATAGATTATGAGCAATCGTGATGTCAGGTGAAAAGGACCGCAGAGGATGTGTTGTTGAGGTCCTATGTTCCACTCGGAACCCAAGAGAATAATAATAATATTGTTATAATAACAAAAGTAACAGTAATAATAATAACGTCAAAACGAGTTAAGATCACGGTACTGACGAAAGATGGATTCATTTGAATCTGAAATACTAATAATAAGAGTTAGAATAAAATGTTATCAGTAATAATAATGATGGAGAAAGTGGAGGTGGATTGGACACTCGCTGAGGAGGCCGCTGGGTGACATCGCGCGTCAGGCCTTCGAGTGGAACCCGAAAAGGAAGTGACGAGTGGGATGTCCAAAGGTGACATGGAGGAGATCGTGTGAAGATGAGTTGTAACAGTATGGATTAACATGGATTCAGGTGAAAAGTACGGCAGAAGACAGAAGCAAGTGGAGACGTGCAGTTGAAGCCCTATGTTCCACTAGGAACCCAAGGGAACAATACTAATGATGATAACAGTTCATAATTAGAACATATCAGCAAGGTAGATTCAGAGTGACGACCATTTCTTTCCCCACACAGAGACCATCTGGTTTATAAACACTAATTGCACAAGCCTCCTCCACATCTTGAAAGTATCTTCCTGTTTGTTTGTCTGCTCTCTGAAAACAGTGAGTGACTTGACAGCACATCAATATGATGATATCTGTAGTCTACAAGACGCTTTGTGGTTATTGAACTTTTCTGACATTTTGACTTCAGCTCTTTTCAACCACTCTGGCAAATGCTTCATCAAATGAGTAGACAATCGACCTTCTGTATGACCTATGGTATTCATTTCTGTAGAACATACTCAGTTTGAAATGTCGAGGATTGGCGGCTGGTCTTTCCCAGACTGTTGAAGTACCCATTTGTTGGTGTTAAGGAGTACGTGTTTTACAGCATATTAAGTTCTCTTGATAGCTTTATCTGGAAGTAGCTTTGATTGACTCTTAATTTCCGCTACAGTAAATTAATGTATGGTAGTTCGCATGTTGAACCAAGCCGTTCCATGATGAACAATATTAACTGGTATGGGTGGTGGTCGAATCAAAATCCGTCACCAGTCCATCAAGGTTTTGACTATTGGTTTGAACAAGCCAAGCAGAGAGGTGGAGGCTGTCTCATTGGGGACATCAGGATACTAAGAATTAATGGCTTGTGATTTTCGTGATACGACTGGAAATCCTCTTTCTCAGTGACGCAGATGTAATTAATCTTTAAAATCTCCCAGATCCATCGAGTTCTCTTGTTATTTCCGTTTTTTTCTCGTTTTTCTTTCTGTCTTTCGTCTACTTTTGTGTTCTGCATGGATGGTGGTAACTTGAACTGCTGAACTTCCATTCTTGCTTTATGGGTTTACTCTAAATTATAGCAGACCTTGACAAACCTCTATCGACCAATCAGGTGCTTCCGAAGTTAAAGTGGGTAATTTGAAAAAAATGTTTATTTAGAAGTAATGTAGTGTTAGAAAGTGGTCACATAGGATAAGATTCGTGTATATGTCCGTTTAAAACCTTCCAATTTGTCATGAGAGTTCACATAGTTAGGTTAAATTGATTTCTGTACATAAATTCTTCGAGATAACTGTAAATCACCATACTTCTTGACCTATTCACTGCCCTGATCCTCCCTTTCAGGTGATTCCAGACACTTGTTATGGAATTTATGTGAGTTCATTCGGAGGGATTAACAAAAGCATCAGTATGATTGGCCACGTTATGAATATAACCCAGGCATGAGGGTTGGCTCTAGCTATTCCATTCGTCTGTGTGTATAGTTTGCGCCAGGTTGCACTAAACGTTGGATAATAGGTAACAAAACATTGCCATTACTATCAGGGATTGTCTGGATATATCATCTCCTCATGGTCGTATCAGATAATCCCCAAAACCCACTGTTGATTAGCACTCAGTCTACCACGATTGTATTTCCTTGTTATTAGCACGGTCTTGTCCACATGTGAAATGACACCGATGCCACGAAGAATTTGGGTCATATTGTTCATTTTCCATGAAGTTATCACTCCGCAGTACTGATACCAGTGAACTGCATACACTTGTGAATTCTTTGCTTTGAATCCCGTCGTTATAACTGAACTTTTCAGGATCCAACTGAGACACACAACTTGCGTTAAAGGTGACTTCGACCTGGCGAAGAAAGTACCTACAGCATCTATAAACTAAAACAAGAATGGCATACCTTCTCAAACAAATTTCTTTCCTGTAACGGCAGTCTTCGCACCTGTAGACACAAGTCCATCAATGCAGCCAGTTTATCTGCGCAAACGCATCACCCCCCCCCACATCTGTCGACATGTTTTCTCCCTTCCAGTGAGGCTGTTGTCTAAGCAGTACTGAAAATCCAGATCTGGGTGAAATCTACTAAGTAATTGGTGAATAGAATCCGTCATTGCACTCATATACTACGGGCACATTTAATTTTGGTCACCCAAGGTCATTAATCAGTTCATTAGGGTCGCCATATATTAAAGTCACCCATTCCCCAGTTTACTTTTAAGATTTACCCTCATTTCACTTTTGGTAGTAAAGAAAGGAAATCCTAAATTACAACTCATCTATAAGCGTGCAAAACAGCCCTCTAGTACAACGAATAAAGTAGCAGACCTTAAAGTTTAAATTTATTCGATCGATCAGTTAACCAATCAACGCAAAGATATGCTTGACCTTGAAATATTATTGTATTGATTTTTTTATCATCCACCATAGTATGTAATTCGTTAAAAACGTTTTCTATAGAATACTTCTAAAATGTCTTGTGAGAAATGCACAGGAAATGAGACCGTAATTATTATACGAATATTATTAGTAATTCTATTTATTATAACAATGATATTTATGTATGATTATTTTATAAAAGTTTTACATAAACATAAATCAACGATACAGAATTTATCAAAAAAATGTAAACGACTGATTTTATCGTTGGAATTCATGCAGAAATTTGCAAAGACAAAATATACTACTGATAATGAAAGTCAGTACGCACTCTTACTTAATGAAAATGTTAACAATAATGTGATCAGTTATCTGAATGAGGTAGACATTGAATCAAATAACATGAAGCCTTTTGCACAAAATCGATATCTTGAAGAGAATTTTCAGCATACTGCTTACACTAATAATAGTAATCACATGTCTGCACTTTTATTTGAATGCACAACACATGAAATAAAGGATTTTGAATTTAATCAATACCAGAAGTCGACCACTGACTGCCACTCAACATCACCATCATCGTCATCATCATCATCATCATTGTCGTCATCGTCTCAGCTAATCAATAAACCTCCGCAGAATAATAAAAACTGCCCTTCATTAATTAAGCTAACTAAAAATAATGAAATGATACCATTATATGAATTTTATTCAGATGACCTTCAAGTGAATTGTTTAAATGTATTAAAACGGTTCAGTAGTGACAACAATTATAAAGGCGGGTATTTTGATAGTTTTGTCAAAAAATTTAAATTAACCAATCAGTATCATGATAATAATAGTAATAGATGGTATCAATCAAAGTATACAAATTATCAGTTATTAACACATAGTGACGATGATGGTGATGATTATGATGACGATGTGGAAACAGAAGGAAATGGGATAAATATGATGGGAAGAGGTAAAGTTGATAATGAATTAACTAATGACAGAATGAACTTAACGTTATTTAAAAAACACATTGAAAGTGAACAATCGAAGACCCTTGAAGGAATTAATAATGGTAGTAATAATATTTTAAATTCGGATAATTATAAATATGAGAATATAAAGAGGACAGTTTATAATGTACATCTAGAAAGTATTGATCGTAAAGAAGATCTGATCAAGTTGAAAAGGAATACAGTATTACACATCAAATACAGATCAAATAAAGTTGAATTATGGTAAAACTATGAAAGATGACGCAAGTTATTTAGAGATTCAGAGGGGAAAGTGTCTTTTATCGAATATAACTGATATCCTGGATTAATGATTGTAGCGGAGATTTGATGTGAGGTCACCGAAACAGGAGAAGGAACAAGTGAGTGACCTCAGAGATTCCCTAGCACGAAACATGTTGAAATGAGGATGTCAAGATGACTCTGAGATAAGGAGGATAGAGATGGAGACGAAGATGCCAGAGACAATGACCAGTGTGCCAGTGGAGATAATATAACTCAAGTCATCCTTTCATATTATTTCAATAACACTGGCAACAATCAGGTTGTATTCATATCAGACCTGAATAATATTTACTGTGATAATTAATACCTTAAAATATATTCCTTCCTGGTTGATACTTTTAGAAGAAAAATAATATAGAAAGGTATGAATTTTCATTATGATTACTTGTTTCACCGGATTGTAATTACAAACCGTGACAGGGTTTAAATATAATAGTAATAATACTTTCACCCGAATTCGTGAAGGGTTCGAACCCAGAACGGCAAAAACAAAACCCTACGTACGCCTAAAGAAGTATATTCTCAGTTATTACATCTCGGATACTCACACCTGTGGAAGTTGATTCCACAGCACTGCGGCAATGAGTGACGTGGGTTCGAATCTTAGAAGGGACATAAGTTCCTTCAAGGTTGCAGATACGCCTTGCTGACTGGTTGGTGAGTGCCAACTAGTACTAAGCCTAGGTCAAGCAAGGCTTCCTGTGGCCGATTGCCTCCACCCGTCTAATATCAACAAATCACAGTGCGGTGCATCGTGATGGCCACCTAGTGGCATGGTGGCCACATTGCAAACTTGACTGACGATAGAATTCATTGTTCACCATACAAAGGACTAGACACATTACACTAGTTACTGACCAGTGTCCAATCAAATGTAATTCCATCTTGAAACAGGATTAGTATTCTGCGATGGTAGAGTTCAGGAGACAATTGTTTCAAACCAGTGACACATAATCTATTTTCCAGAAGGTTTCAGGGCTACTTTCACATAAAGACCTTACTGCCAGCTATAGACAGTAGCAGGGTAAATCGGGATCGACAAGTTTTGTTTACTGCCACTCTCTGGCGTGAGCGGAACTGGATATCAGTGGTATACTTCAGAATTGCTTCTCGTTATTGTAAAGGTTGTGAACAATCCTCATTTTGTTATATAATTATTCCATCTCCCGAACATCTTTCACTGCAGTCTCCACATATGCGTCTTGTCCAATTACATTTTATACTTCTCTTAAGTGTGAAACCTTAAACTGCTATACTCATGCTCAAACTTGATCAGATAATCTGTCGGTTAATATAAGAATAGAGCTTGTACACTGTGGTAAAGTATAATTCCATTTTGGAGAAAATTTATTTTGATAAAGTCTCACAGTGTTGTTATATACAGTAATATTAACTGATGACGACGTTTTGAGCACGATTTATTACCCTGCTCATAATCATATCTGGGCACTACTCACACAACTTTCTAACTTCGTTTATATAATTCCATCGTTATTTTTGATCGCTTGATTTGATGACTGGCAGTAGTATTTTGCATATTTCCAGTATGAGTGATGAGTCATTCCTATTGCACGTGTTGTGTTGGGTGTAGACTCGATGAACCAGGCAGGATTCAGTAATCAACCTCTCTCAATCTCCATCTATCTACATTATCTTTTAGAATTTGAACCCTCTCCCACCCACCCTATTGTGTGGTTGTGCGTTGTTAATGCATGCAGTGCAGTGTAGTGCTGAGCTTTTTACTAAATTACTTATCTTCGTGGCTGGGATCAACCATTCTTAGCTTAGTTAAATTCTTATATCCCGATAATCTGACAACCCCTGACCTACCAGTTTGACTGACCTATATAGTTAACTTAACTCACATCCAACAGTTGTACGACAATGCTACATGCCAAGTAATCCACAACGGGAAACTCACGGAATCCTTTGAAGTGAAGACGCGAGTAAGACAAGGCTGCCTACGATCTCCAATGATTTTCCTGATTGTGGTAGACTGGATAATGCGACAGAGAGCGGGTAGCGAGGAAACAGGCATAAAGTGGACCCACACAAAACAAACTTGGAGGATCTGGACTTCGCCAATGATATATGTCTGATTTTTCACAAACTGTAAGATATGCAAGTGAAAAGCAACAAGTTGGCAGAAGAAGCATACAGAGAATATACGACTTCCTTCAGGTGAATACAGAGAAAGCTAAGGTGATGGAGATTCGTGACTAGCAGCAACAGCAACCGCAACAGACAAAAGTCAGCATAAATGGGAGGAATCTGAAAGAAACAACCTCCTTCACCTACCTACCTACCTGGGAAGCATAGTTTCAACGATAGACGGGCGGGACTGACGAGGATATCAAAGCAGCGAGGATCGGAAAAGCAAGGCGAGCTTTCATTTCTCTCAGGTCTATGTGGAGATCAGCAGCACTCAGCATGAAAATGAGAATAAGATCCTGATTTTCAACTCCAATGTGAAGTCAGTGCTACTCTATACGGATCACAGACTTGACAGGTTATGAAGAGCACCTCAAACAAACCACAGACCTTCATTAACAGTTGTCTTCTCTCAACACTCAAGATCAGATGTCCAGTAAAGATCAGCAACAGAGATCTCTGGAAGTGAACTAACCAGGAGACGAATGTAGAACAATTAAGTAGCAAGAAATGGAGGTGGACTGAGGAAACCATCAAGTGTCATCACACGCCAGGCCATCGCTCGAGTGGAACCCGAAAGGGAAGCGGTGAGTTGGTCGTCTGTGTGAGGGTGACTTGGACGAGGTTATGTGAAGAGGAGATGAAAGCATGTGGGCAGACGTGGAGCCAGATGACAACGTTAGCAGAGAACCGAACGCAGTTGAGACGTGTGGCTGAAGCCCTATGTTCCTCTAGGAATTAAAGGAAACAATAATAATAATAATACAGTCATTGCAAGATATTTGTAAATTATATTATTTTGTCTAATTGGGTCAACCTACAGGACTCTTTAATCTACAGAGCCTGTGTCTGAGTGAGTTCGTAGGTTTGAATGCCACTCTAATTCCTGCTTTGTTAAGAATCCTATGCGTGGGGCCTCAGATGTCCCCTCCTTATACGGTATAACTGTAGATGCCTTATATTCTCTTTTATTTATGGTAACATCATTTGTTTCCCCATTATATTTATTTTACTTTTGACCTTTTCTGATCTTCCTAATGAATTTTATAGGATAGTTGGTTATTTAACACCAACCAGCCATTCTTCTATCTGTTTCATTTCATCATTTAGGTCGTTTGTTACACTACTCGTTTTGTTAGACACTTAACTAAGCCTGCCTTTACAGACAACTACGGATGAGATGAACTAAATTCTAAGTGTCTATGATGAGAATGCGTTGGCATTTTCATAAACGCTATTGCGAAGTTTACCTTCTTCTATTCCTTTTATTTTAATCTAACATCATGGCTTATTCTCCTTGTTCATTGTCCGATTCAAATTTGACCCATAATGGAATCTGTCAGTTAGGTAGTTACCAAAAATACTAAAAGGTATAATCAAAGCTAGAGAATTTAGTGTCTACTTTTATTTTGGCTGATAGCGACTAACAGTGGGACCCAATATGAGCATTTCGTCCAATTTTAGGACTCGTCCACTGAGACTGCAGATTTCGAGTCTTCTTAGGATCTTATTGGTGGTTTCATTCTGGAGAAACCGAAAGGTGCTCTTGATGGAAAACTTCTCCTGGAACAAGATGAATTAAGGAAACTACAACCCTAAGCATCATAACCGAACAGAGCGCAAGTTGGCAAATCAGCTATCAACCTCATCTTTATAGACTTTGGAAAGGCCTTCGACATTGTTGATGGAGAAGTGATTTGGTAATTACTTCAACAATAGGGAGTGCAATCTCACACAACTTTATAAACCTCATTCAACAACTACTGGACAGTACCACATGTCAAGTGATTCACAACGCAAAAATCACTTAACTAGGCCTTTAAAATGAAGACATGAATAAGACAAATCTGATGATGTTCCTAATTGTGATGAACTGAATCATGCTGATGATCATGGGGAGCGTGAAGACACGCATACGTTGGACCGAAGAGAAGACTCTAGAAGATATGAACTCATAGAAACTCGAAAACCTGAAGGTGTAAAGCAACAAGTTGGTAAAAGAGTCACAGAAGACAAGGCACTTCCTCGTGTGGGACCTGAATGCGAAAGAAGAGTTGACGTCCAACAATCCCATGGAAGAGATCTTTGGAAGAAGAGATGAGAGTTAGTGGACAATTTTGGAGCCAGAAAAAGGTGATTGCAGAAAACAGGACGCAACAGAGATGTCATGCTGACGCCCTATGTTCCACAAAGAATCTAAGGGAATAAGAATGATGATGACCTTCAAGTATTCTCCAGGTGTTCACTAACAACGGAATCCAGGATGCGCATTTCGTCCTTTTTGAGACTCGTCATCTGGATGCACCTGATGATGTTCCCACCCAGTCTCGAAACCAGTATCTATAGTTTCAAATGTCAAAGCGTTATTCACTAGACCACTTGGGCCACGAGATCCACCTCTTGTGCAACGGTTCATATTGATTATTTAATTGAATTTTACATCCAGATGACGGGTCCTGAATAGGACGAAATGCGCATCCTGGATTCCACTGCTAGTCACTATCTACCAATTAAATTCTAATTAAACGACCAGATATCATCGAAGCATCTGCACAAGAAGCCGACATGTCAACTGAGGTGGAGCACTTCGGTCCAATCAATCGACGGGAAAATCTAAAATTCAAATAAATTCGTTTCCAATTTTTTCGCAAAAGCATGATTCTAGTAAAAATATATGAAGATAACTGATACCTTAATGTAAAAATTTCTAACTCCGAATCTTTTTGTCACTAACTTCGGGAGTCGTTTATTTCAGGATAAAGAATATTTATAATCTGGATTTTATTCATTTTT